AGAATAATTTCCAATAAACCTACAGCACATGTACAACCCTCAAGAATTTTTAAAATACTGACACGACCTAAAGACGGGACTATCGACTTTCTCTTGAAATTTGAAGAGCGAACACTCAAACAGTAGAAATGAGAAGCAATTCAGAATTAAAATATTTTTAAAACTAAACTATGTTAAGGCTGGATAAACCCCTGAAACTACTGCCCTGAGATCATCTTTAAACCTTAAATCAAAAATATCCCCTGAAGTCTTCTGAAAACCAAACAAAAGTTTAGCTTTACTAGTAAAGAATATCTGCCTTGAGCATTGTGCTCTTTTAAAGATTTATCTGTATGGGATCAAACTGACAATAGCAACTCAAAAGATTAGATAGGAACCTTGGGGCCAGTGAGTTTATGTTAATGGCGGAGGAACAACTCAGAAAAGGAGGGTGGGAATGGTTGCACAACTCAAAGAATGTAATTAATGTCACCGAATTGCACGTGTAGAAACTGCTGAATTAGCGTATGTTCTCAACAACAACAAAAATAAATTATATTAAAAAAAATGTTAGGAAGGGCAATTTTTAAACTACATGTGAAATCAGTTTTCCCCCCTCCTGAAGGTTATCTGCCTTCGACATACAATAAAAATTAAAAATAAATAAGCTAAATTATCTTAACTCCTTTAATGGAGGTAGAAGACAGAGACAGAGACAAACCTGCATATTTCCCCAATATTCATTATCATAATTATGTTAAGTAATGAAAACAAAGAAAACGCAACACAGCTGATGCACATGATATGTGAGAGATGGCTCGCAAGTGCAGAAAGGAAATCAAAACCTTTAGAGACCGGATCCCAATATCCCTGTGGTACCATCACCCACCTGCCTCCCTGGCCGGAGGCTTTCGCCTGGCCAGGCTGATCTTCACACACAGGAGAAATGATGTCAAACTGTATCGGGGTGTCCGGAGCAACAAGCGAATCTAGAGAGAGGGCAGCCAAACTTGTGGACTCAGACCCTAAAGATCCTGAACTGCTGGTTCGAGCTGCCAGTGGCCGAGATTGTCTAAGCATAAAGAAAACGAGAGATTGTCTAAGCATAAAGAAAAACGAGAAGGTGTTACATTTAGTTTTCTCTTTTGGAAATCAAACACTTAACAAACTATGAGAAAAAACACAATTTCCTAATAAGTCAGTTTTAACAAATTTCAATAAAAACACAATCCCAATTTATAGCTACTTATTTAACAACAGACTTTCTTCTTTCCAATTATTAAATTTAAAAACACAAATCACCTGATCTAGAGATTCACTGGAAACACTAGGAAATCTGGAATCATCATTTACCAGCTTTAGCAGTACCCCTGCTTGTACATTCACCAATTTAAAGACACACTTTGTAAGCTGTTTGGGGAACTATTTAGTACTAATCTAAGTAGTGGAAAAGCAAAGAGCTTGCTAACACTTTAAATAGCCCATCCTGTTCTTTAAATAACCCGGGTCTGGTAACTCACCCTGCAGGCCGGAGGCTCTCGTGCCTCTGCTGGAAAGACGGGGAGGGAGTGATGGCTTCCAGAGCTGACTGATTCACTCGAGCAGCAATTTCCTATTTCCATTTTTTTTTAAATATTGGTAAAGTAAGAAAATGTAAAAGTTTGAATATAACTCTCTGAACTGTCAAAATGCTTTTGAGTTACACATAAAATAAAAAGTG